TTTTTAACACCGTAAATTTTTCTAATTGTAAGTTTGAAATCAAAATCGAATTTAGGATAAAATTCCCCTGAAATCGATCGAAGAATGTGGTCACGCTATTTTGAAGCTTGTTCGCGAGCGACCGGATCAAATATTTCGGTCCTCTTATTAGATTAAGTAAATTTCACTTCGCGCGACGCATCCAAATCGCCTGACACTCGCGAACTAACGACAGCAAAATCCAATTCTGACGGTGCACGACGAACTTCATGTCCGACTGTCAATCGCAGCGGTCGGCTTGGCACGGTTTGGATTCCACGGGCAAAAAAAAGAGCTAAAGGTTGCGAAAGTCAGTTTGTACTTATAACTACTAGCAGGAAATATATTCGCAAAGGGCAATAGCCGGATTTTCATAAAGCAAGTAGATTATCACAAGCGAGCAAAAATACACTGTTTATCTTTAATTACGTATGCTTAATTATACTACTATATAATACTTCATATGTCGAAAATATAATGCCTTTGACACGAGTTTATAATGGAAAAAAATTATCTTTTTCGAAATATGCGGCTAAAAATGAAAAGTGTAAATACAGAGAGAAAAAAAGTATCACGAAATTGTACTCGTGCATTCTACTCTTACATTCTTTATAACCTGTCGACGATCTTAATCGATGCGACCGAAACTACGTGCTCCCCGGAATACCCCCTGATGGAAGACAGATTAAAATGTCGAACGAGAAGAGGCAAGAGCCGACGATCTACGAGGTGATAAATAAAAATCGGCGAGTATCCAGTAAACGACGTAAGAAGCAGGTCACGCGGAAAATCCCAAGATCGATGGGAGAAACGCGCGAGCGGTGGATACGTTCGACGCCTCGAGATGGAATCTTTGAATACCCGGGCGCAAAACGCAGCGCAAAACGGCCGGGAAATGATTTCGTGTCCCGAAGATTGTAACCTTCGGGCGATGATACAGATTTTCATCGGGAGGAAGAGTCATTGCACTTTATGCTGAATGGGCAGCGAGTCAACAACCCGTCCTCTCTCTTTCTCTCTCTCTTTCCCTCTCATTTTCTCTCTTGCTCTTTCTGTCCATGTATGCGTTTACACCACACCTTCACGGTCTCTTCTCTCGCCTCTCTCTCTCTTTTACACGTTCTCTTCCCCGAGAGGAGGAGGAAAAACACGGCGGGGAGACGGAAAAGGGAGAAGAAGGAAAGGACGGGGGAGCAGGGACGCGAGGATGGAGAAGGGGCTGGAAGAGAAGGTCTGGGAATCGCTTCATGCATCGGGGAGCACAAGCGCTCGCGTAATAACACGATCGGAAGGCGAGCGAAGGCACACCGTGTCTCACGCGTGCACGCACTTTTCGTGCGCCGACACGCGTGGCTCTGCCTCACGTCGTCGTACGCGCCCGGTATATTAGAAGGAAAGGCAGAGAGCACGGGCGTGCGCGGTCCGAGCGGTCGCGCACGCTCGTCGAAACGCGCGTGCACGCGCGTGGCCGTAATCCCCCCGGTCCCGTCCCGTCCCGTCCCGGGGTACGAGCGCGAGAACGAGCAATCCTATTTTTATATGTACGGCGTACACACAGGACGCCGCGACGTGCGCGTCGCGAAAATCTCGGCGCGCCTCGGCGAAGGGAGACTCGAAGGTCGACCTTTTTTTACCGAGTGAGGTAATTCAAGGTACGAAGTACGGCGGTTTGACGAGCAAAGCTCGTGGACAAATCTCTCTCTTGCTTTGTGCCTCGAACGTGCTTTGTAACGGTGACGGCGATTCGTCGGGAGTGCGCACGGAGTCCGTGCAGGAGGAAGAATTCGCGAGAAATTTTTAGAGATGCTCTGTCGTCATTTTTTATATGTGTACATGTAATGAAAATATTTCGGCGTTACTCCAAGTGTGACGACTACTGTAATTCGATGCTTTTAACGATAGGGAGATAAAATTTGTCACGTTTTCTGTTGGACCGACTCGCGACGTTGAAACGCGCGTTAAAGTCCGATTCCTTTTTCCTTTTTCCGAAAAATTCTCGGCGACTGGGAAGATTAAGCGTAACGTCGTGTCTGACCAGAAAAATGGGCTTGCTCTTGCTCTAAGCGATGCGTGCATCCGCGGAAGTAGAACTCGCTCGTCGAGTAAAATTAATACGGAGTGCCGTGTCGCGTCTATCTTTTTCCAGACATCTAGTCTCGGCTCACGGTCGCCGGCGACTTTGCACCGCATTTTGCGTTCTCATCGAGGCGTGAGACGCCGAGCGAAGAGAGAGAAAGAGAGAAAAAACCGGGAAGATCGGCGACACGGTAATTTGCACTGCGTTAGCAAAGTACCTCCTTTCCTACGTGACGATATAATTTCGGGACGTATTCAAACTCGGAAATATTCAAAGTACATCTCAGATCAACAGATAAAACAAGTATTTGTCAGTATCGTATTCCATATAAATAAATTAAGAAAGAGACTGAAAAATGTTCTTAACGCAGTACGGTACCGTTGCACACGACAGTCGACTCGCTGCGCATACGAGACCAGTTCTTCGCGCGGAAACCGCTGTCGCGGCTTTTTTCCTGAGAACAATGGTCGCCGGTGGTACCATTTCCCGTAGGCGGGAAAGCGCGTTACAACTGCTGGCTTCCCCGGTGTCTCGGTCTTCACTCGCGATTCTACCGTTTCAGTTTCTCAGTCAATACGAAAGTCTCTTGGAACGCATTTTACGAAAAGAAACTCTCGAGCCTGGAATATTATCGGAAGAGGAGCCGTCGATCTTGTCGATAAGATCTTGTCGATTTTCAAAAACGTCTATCGGAACAATCGGATATTTAATCGCAATTAATATAAAACGATCGAAATATTACTAACGATATAATTGATCGCAGGAGGAATGCACGGACCTCGCCACCCTCCGCGACATGCTTGAGTTCGAGCACTTGACGAGATGCAGGAACGCTCCCGGGTGGTACCGATATATACTTGCCGTTCTATTTTCTGAATAGGCACTCAAAGTAGACACGTCGAGGAGCTGTCACTCAATGATTTATACGTTCGTCCACGGCCGCCGCTCGCCGGCCGGTTCTCTCTTTAAAACCCGCGCGCGGATCGCCACCCATTATCGACACCAGGGCCGCTTTTGTGAAGGTAGAATAGAAAAAGTATGCCCTCGAGAATGTACGCTATCAAGGCCGTAAGGATATCATTGTGCTCGCCGGACGGCCGAAAAGACGGGCAAAAAGCGTCGCGGTCGAAAGCGGTCCCCGGTCGGTTAAAATGTCATATCGCGGCCTATCTCGTTTCTCACGTCATTAGACCACAGACAAGGACATATCCTAAAATAAGATCAGAGGGCGGGGGGGGGGGGGGAGGAAGAATAGAATCATTTTCATTCGGAAGCGTGCGGTTTCGGGCAAACTAGAGAAGAGAAATGAGAGACATTTATCCTTTTGATAACACAGCCTGATTACATATGATGAAGAAACACACAGTCGGATAAAATGTGCGGAGCCAAACTAGTCGGTTCTGTCATCGAGAACGGACGAATGAACAGGACGTCACATGACGCACGTGCGCAAAACGACGTAGCTATTTTCTCTGGGCATACTCGAAAATAGTAATGCTTTAATCGCGTCTCATTCGAGTGCGACCAGAGGTTAGGAAGTAATTCGCTGTCTAAATTCTATTTTCGCATTTTCAAATTAATCATCATAGGCATTTGTTATGAAAGATCGTGAATCATTAGAATATCATTAGAATGAGCTTAGTATCAAAATATTCTGATGGTTATTAACAGTCATATCTTTAAATCCCTTTCTAAAATACGTAAAAAATACTAAAAAGTTTTTTCTTAAAAATAAGTGGCAATTTCTTTAATTTTTGTTCTAAGATTCACTTCTCTTTCTGGAATACTTAGATTTCCTTAATTTTCTAAGTGTATAACATTCGCAGTAAATATTCATAGCAAACAAAATTCATGTTTATATAAAAAAAGAAGAAAAATACTAATTTAAATTGCAGCAAGATTGATCACTTTGGCTGCAAATAATTCTTTTTTTCATTCCAGGAAATGAGAAAAAGTTGATGGAAGTACCTGATATAAAAGCCAGACGCTTTATGGGGAGTTCCGTAATGTCTTTTGCATGATTACATTTAAAATCTTCAGTAACTTCGAGAAATCGCGCGGACCTAGGAAAATTTTCTCGGGAGGAAAGAGCAACGACAAAGCTAAGCGGTACAAATCGGGAGTGTCCTTCTCAAGAGTGAGCATTTACTACATAATCGAGATTAATCTCCCCGTAATAACTGCATTACGGCACTGCAACATGGCATCGTAACCGTTTTATAAGGAGTCCGAGAAGAATTCTTTAAGAACTAATGCTATTAACGTTCAGGAAAAACCGTTTGACCGCCGTATATAAATACTTAAAAAGATATTTTTGATCGTGTTTTACATATAATTTTATATTAATATAAATCGCGCAGTACAGACGTTAAATTTATTTTCTCCATTCGTTTGAATATCAATAAGCAAAATACAGTGGAGAAAAACAAGGCTTCGACTTTTATATAGACATTATTTAATTTGTACTATTAAGAGATTCTCCTTGTTTCTCGGTGAAAGAGGGAACGTTTAACAATCGCGAATGGAAGTAGGTTTGATCCTTGAATAAATAAACTATGCGGACCTAATATACATAAGGGAATTTTAAACATCAATTGGCGTATCTTACAGTATACACTTAGACGTACACCGTCAGTATAATTTTCATCATTTATAAAGCGATATTTCAAATTTAGTGTATCGTAAATTTTATTTGCGAAATAAAATGTGAAGACAAATTCAACGATTCTTTTTGCACTAAAGTATATAATAATTTATCAATCGATCACTTCATTCAGCTACACTTTTTATCTAGAATGAAACTAGATAAAAAAAACTATTAAGATAATCTAATTAAGTCTCAGAATTTGTTATATAAAATACTTCACTCCACATTTAGATTTTTTATCATATTAAATTTTGTCGAATGATATTTAATAATTTATAATTTTTGAGCTTTCATTTTTCCTAAAATTAATCGAGAGAAAATGAATAAACACCTTAAAACGAATAACATAATGTTTGCACAATTTGCTCGACAAAACTAACAAGAATTTCGAAATCTGCAAAATTTGCAATAAAATATCCTTATATTTCTATTTTGCTTATTGATATCCAACAATGTCGGTATTTGTCACATTTTGCGCGACGACGGACGCACAAGTCTCTCTCCGTTCAGTAGCGCCTAAAAAAAAGAGGAGCTGAACGAGACTTACCTGGACATCGAAGTGTGTAGTAGTATCTTGTGGTTGCGGAGGACCTTGTTGTTGTTGCTGCTGCTGCGAGGGTGGTGGACCCTGCGGCGGCGGCGGAGCTTGCGCCCCGAAAAGTTGCGCTGCTGCATGTGAGTGCGGATGCTGTAGATGATGAGTTGGCGGCGCCTGATGATGCTGCAGATGATGCGGCGGTGCCGGCGCAAACGCCGCCATGAAATGTTCCTCGCTGCCGACAACGTCGATTCCGGGTTTCAGCAGCACGACGCCACCACCACCGGCGCTCACGGCCAGTGTGGCGGCGGCGTTCTTCTGAAATTCCTCCTCGCCCGGTGATGGCTGACGACTTCCGGGTGTGCGACTGCAAAACAAAAATGAAAAGTCAATCAATAAGTCAAAGAATGAGAGCAAGGAATATAGCGTAGCTAATTATATGATATTCTATAATTTAGATTAAAATACTTAGAAATATTTTTATAAAAAAGTTATTAAATAATAGATTTGTTTACTCGCCTCAATAATTAATATTTAGTCATAATTGAAACAAGCCTACAAACTGAATAAACGTAAAAACTGTATTTTTCTTTTCTGTATAAAGAAACTGACATGATTTTCCTAAGAACGATTGCAAGTGGCAACCGTAAATGTCAAGGACCTCATTGCAAATGACGAACGTGCACGGTGTGTTCAACAAGCATAAAATTGATTTTCAAAACTCCCAATTTGTGCAACGTATTTCCTAGATCTCTATCTATCCAGCTTAATCTAGTTTAAATTTTGAATTTAGACTAAATTTAACTCTCATAAATATTTAATTCTATTACTCTTTCTTATTCGTAGAATCATTTTGTAGTTGAAGATAAATTTAGAAAAGTTTATTTCCATTATGTATGTTAATAGTTAGAAAGCTCCTAATAAATCCGGTGAATAACTGCACAAAGAAACGCTAAACCCAAGATTCCACGTATACGCAATCGATTACATGTCGTGTAACGGTGCACTTTGCATAATGCGATGCACGTAACGGGATGCAATCCGCAGGTTAGACGACTCGCGTTACTGATCTCGTGAGAAAAGAAAGTATAAACGTCAACAGCGGCCGTCAACGTCACGATGAGTTAATATCATTATCATAATGACACAGAAACTAATAACACTTCTATTGCGTGTATCATTTTCCTCTCCAATCAAATCAAAGAAATCTAAGTTAAATGCGCACGAAATTTCTCTATTAAAACGAAAAAAAGTCATCGTCAGAAAATATTTCACCTAACGTTTTTCTCTTTTATTAATTTTATTTTAGAAAATTAAAATTTAAAACCGCGTGCTCTCGAACGCCCAACGTTTTTAAAAGACTATAAATTATTGAGATTTGAAATAATTGAATTTAATAAAAATATAGAAGTACTACATCGTGGAATGCAAACAAATAGCGCATAGACACAACAAAACGGAGAAACAATGTCGATAACGTCGTTGTCGAGAGTGCTTTCTGCCGTGCTCTACTGATGGCGCAACATTACTGAGAATCAAACGAGCAGCTATCGCGAAAGGAAACGCGAGAGAATATGATGTCATTCGGCCGTGTGTAGAGCATGTCCTTGACAGCTCTATCGTTATTCCATGATAATTACAGTAGAAGCAATATATAAAAAAGTTATATATCTCTATGATAAGATACAGTAAGGGATTTAATAAAAGATCTTTTTGCAACGCTGCACTTGTAAATTATTCAACCACTTATATCTGATATAAATTATAAATTCCTATTATTTCTGTTTTAACTTGTTTAACTTTTTTTCAAGATTATATATTATTTTCTAGAAAAAACGGAAGTAGAGAAAATAAAAAATAAGTACAAAAATAAAAATAAACAGAAAACATTATTTTTCATTTAACCATCTTATCAAAATTTTAATTTCAAGATTAATAAATAATTCTGAACGTTTCAAAAATTACGAAAAATTAATAAAATTAATCATTTGAATGTCGACCGGTGTTACAAAAAAGTATGCAATTCATTGGACACATTGTGTGTATAATGTTTAAAATTAAATAGTTCGACCAACAAAATAGAACTTACTTAAACCCTTTGTCGTCGTCTAAACCGTTTTGAGACGCTAATCCGTTACCCTGTGGTCCAGCATCATCCTTTGTGCTATCAAAGGGACTTGCTGAACCTTTTTCTTTCTCCTTTTTGTCTGCATCGGTATTCTGTGTATAAAAAAAATTTAAATAGCAACTATATATATATATATATATATATATATATATATATATATGTGTACATACAAACATAACTAATACAAAGGTGTTACGCTATTATGTAGTACTCACCAATCTCAGAGAAACCATTCGCGGTTCCAAATCTTTTGGCGTAGTGGGACTCGATCCAAGAACATATTCAACCATTTTAACTCCCAAACCACCTGTTTCGCTGCAAGAAAAAAATACGTTGTCAATGATATCGTTAACGATAATAATACAAGCTTACATAAAACGCTAAAAATATTATAAAAGCTTTCTTTCGGTTAGTTTGACAGGTTCTTTTATCAAATTCATAGACAATTCTTACAAAGGAACTAGCATCCATTTGATAATTTTAAATATCCTTTTAGTCATTTAACGATTCTTTTGTAAAAGTTATATTAGAAAGCCAACTTAACAAAATAAGATATAAGATAATTTTATTGTCTGTACGTAGATATGTAATCCAATTTAAATTCCTAAAGGCTTTTACATTTTTCAGCTTCTTACAAGTTGAAGTTATCAATATCTCGGCATCGGGGCAAATGTCGCGCGTACGAAATCTATCGGCAAAGACGCGTAATATCCGCGAACAAAACAACAATATAAAAACACACGAACCTGCTTCTGGGACTGAGCACGGTCCCGACTTCTGATGCCTGGTGATGATATCCCGTTCCAACTCCCACACGTCTGCCCGTACCCATTGAAATTGGCTGTGACACCGCATGATCTGTGAAGGACAAACATACATGACAATATTTACATAGATTATTTATGTAATCCAGAGCCATCTCTCTTCAAGAAAAAAGATTTGGCACGAGATTCAAGTTTCAGTAACATGGCGAACACTTTCCTTCGATCGGCCGTATATGTTATGATTTATAGAAACCGAGAAACAATTTTCCGTTCTTAGATAGCTCAGCTTGTTCGTAAGATACCTTGGCATATATTTAACAGATCTCAAACAAACATAAAAATCATCAAAAAATTTACCGAGTACTTAAAGGTTAATCGAATTAGATATAAGACATACATGACGATGAAAAATAGTGTTCTTGATACATAAAAAAATACGAGCGTATATGTATGTGTGTATGACGCTCCCGGTACAACTGCGAGTCAATACAAAGGAGGATCAATAGACACAAATATGTATATATAACAAAACCTCTCCCTCCAACGTACACACGAAATACATATCGCCGAGAAGTAGTCCTCTCATATAATTTGTACACAGTTTCGTAACAATTCTTGAGTTTTACATTCCCACGTGCTTCTACTTTTACAAAAACAAATGCAGAAAAATAAAAAAGTTCTTTAAAAGTGACTGAATAAAAAAGTTCTGTTAAGACAAGAAAAAATCTTGTATTACGAAATTTCCCGTAGTTTATTTAAAAATAATTTTCTAAAAATCCAGAGAATTATTCTCTGTGACTGTATTGGATTACGAGCTCAAAAACAAATTTTTTTTTTTCGTTTGCTCTGTGGTGAAAAACTTACAAGGGTCTTAAGACGATTCAGAAAAATAAGCTCCTCCAGTATTAAATTTCGCAAGATATTTTGACTAAATTGATTCGAATTCATGGATAAAAAAGGATCTATGTGAACTCGATATCTGATGACAGATTTCCAACAAGAGAACTCTATCAATACAGAGAGAAACAAAAAGGAGACAGAGAGAGAGAGAGGGAGAATTTATTCAAACAGCAATTTGCTACCAACGAGAAGCAGCTGCGGCCATGAACATTATCGAACGAGATTCCGTTGAGGGCTCCCGTATAGATAGAAAAGTTTTTTCCGCCCTTTCACGTTCGCGGCCCCATATGACGCCAATACAACGGCGCGGCGGCCCAGGTGGACGATCAGTCGGAGGGGGTTGGTGGTCGGTCGGGGTGCTCGCTAACGGGGTGGATCAGTAGGTACGATCCTGGGCGTTGGGACGTTGCCCCTACTGCCGCCTCTGATGCCGGGCGTCTGTCGCCATGGCAACAGCCGCGTTGCACCCATCGCGATGTGACGCACACACAGTGGCCACCACCACCACCGCCGCCGCCACATCCACATTCTTATCCACACCCGCATCCACATCCGCATCCACATCCACATTCACTGTCATTGCCACTACATTCACACATTCACATCAATATTTATATCCATATCCACATCTACATTCAACAGCCACATGCAACTATAGCCACAATCACCCCCGCTACCAGTATACCCTGTTTGCAAAAAATCAAGTATTTCGCGCACATCCGGTGTATACATTAAGCATCATACAAGTTTTAACATTCATTAGATACACGTTTATTCGATATTTTTAAATCACACGAATCACATATGATATTTGTGCATCCAAGATTCAGAGGCATTAATTGTATTTGTGACATCAGTTAAAAGTATAATAAAAAAAAAGGATTGCAAGGAATGTTGAAGTAATCGATAAAAGTATCTAGACGAATACGATTTAAAATGTCTTCAATTGTGAATGTAACAAATGCTAAAATCTATGTGATATCCAATGTGCACGACATGTAACCGTGATATATTCGTTCGATGCAATTGATCTGAAAGTATTTTTAAAAAGTAAAAATAGAATCTAGACATTTATATCCTTATAACATTTTCCGAAACTTTAAAGTTCAAAGACTTCATGAAGTTGATATATTCACTGCTAAATTTTAAGCTTCTCCATCATTTGTAAACTTTTAAAGAATTTAAAAATATATTATAATAAAATTTAGGCACACATTCACACATGCATACACACATGCGCGCGCGCGCAAGCACACAAAATTATATATAAATGTTTTCAAATATTTTTATCTTTTTCAACTTCTACGAAAACTTTATATTGCGCAATCAATCTCCTTTTCTTTCTTTCTCTTTCTCAACTGCATTCAGATCTTCGAATATTTTGCGTTCTACTTGCGTAAGAGTTGCTATTTCAAAAATCAGATTTCAAATCACACAATACGTTTAATATTTAGACATTATAATTATATGTTTTACGACAAAAGGAAACAATTTACGCATTAGTCATCGCAAGCAATCTGATAAGCGCGCTCTTAACTACATTTAAGATATCAACAAAAAGGAATTTCCTGCCAAGAAATTTCCTATACGTTTTCTAAGTGTTTATACGTTAGTATGTATGCCGGTGTACCACCTGCGTTTATTAACGTATCACGTATTTAATCGATCAAACGAATTATCGTACTAGCTGAGCCATTATCATATCACATGAAAACGTCACGCTATTAAGCTATCATAATATAATTGTGGTTAAATTAGAGATAATAACGATTACTTAGGGAAATAATAGACATCTTAATATAAATCAAGATTTCGTGAAATCGCCGTAAAATATTTCCTCCGCATTCAATATGAAATGCAAAATTTTTCTGGGCATTTCTGTTTTTGGCGATCCCCATTTGAGTCAAATCGTTTAAGTTATAAAATATTTTATAAAATTTTTATCAATTTTGTCAAAAATATTTCACCAAAAGTCAAAAACGTAGAATTACGAAATAAATGTGTATCTCGAAAGAATTGAAATAAAAATGATATAGGAAAAGCTTTCAAAATTATTTTCAATTTTAGTCGGTGTTGTCATTTAATCGATCGAGTACGTTGTGAAAAAGCTTGGCTCTATCTCCCCCCCTTCTCACCCTTCTAACCCACCCCTCGACGGAAGGCGATGGCGGCGGCGAGCGAGCTGCGTATATGTATCTACATGTTGTTCTTTTACTGCTGTATCAATCAATAAGCGTGCACGACGTAAAATACGCGGCATCGCTTCGTATCTCATGTTTCTTACACGAATACGTCGCCTCTTGCAACAGAGACATCGGTCTATGAACGATCGATGTACACATCTAACGCCGAAAGCGATTTTTCTGGTCCAGCTTGACAACCACCCTCCGCTAACGATCGTTAAACTAACAACCACGTTTCGAACAATTAATTTCATGCCATATAAGGATATCTACGATTCTAACTCATATCAGTGCAACAATTTGACTTTTTCAACCGTTAGCGCTTCTTGGAATACGTAACGCGTGAAAAGGAAATATTAAGCTGAACACGTCCGTAGCATAGAAATTATTTGAAATTATCATCGATATTGCTGTAGCAATTTAATAGCACATTATTGCACGAACGGTGCTGTGTATAATACCCGGACTAGCGTAGGCGTTCCGCGTCGGCTGTTTGCGGCCCTTGCGCTTAGTCAAACGGTTTCGATTACTCCACTCGACCGTGCTCGAGCTTCGTAAGCACTTCCGTCGCCTGTGTGCCGACTTGGAGAATCCCGCGAACCCGAGCGACGCGGCATCGGCGATGTGCGATCGCAAAATTGTCAATCGTACCTGACGTCGTGCTCCAGGTGGAATCCCGCCACATGGTCGGGTGGTCGCCCAGGTGAAGCAGGGTCCCACCGCCTTTTACACCCCCTTCGTCCTTGGAGCCGCCCTCGTCCACGCCCCAGAGCTTTTTTGTCGAGGGAGCGATCTGAAACACGAAAAAGCAGAACAGGTCGTGAGCCTCCGGAGGTCAGTGAACATCCTGAAGCGCGCGTGTTGATACGAAACTCCCAAGAGTTTCTCTCTCCTCTCCTATATCTATTTCTCACCTTCCCAAACCCCTCCGGGGTGCTCTACCTCTGCCGCGCAAAGGGGATACGAGGAAGCGCCACTTGCATTAGAAAATTAAAAGTTCCCGGCAAGATTAACGGTTTCGTAATGCACCGCATTATTCAATCTAGTAACGCATCGGCGAAATTCTGCTTCCGCGATGAGTGCAACGGTGTAATTAACATCGCGCGTCCCACTGACCCATCGTGCACGCGCGCACAACGCATTCATACAGCTCCGTTCTTGAAAATATATTTACGCCGTGTATTTCGGAACGGGGATAATGTTTCAGGGACAGATGCTGCTCCGAATCGATACCCCGTTGACGTAATTGTCAAGGTATCATTCACAAATGATAAGTTTATACATTTTCATATAAATAAAATTCGCGGAAAAACTTGTAGGACAATTTCAATAATGTACACCTCCACTTTACATGTGTCAGACCTTAAATTTTATTAAATTTGCTACTTGCATTGATGCTATCAGAATTCATAGATTCAAGACACTTAATTTATCCGCAGCTACGCTGCAGAGAAGCATGTGAAGCAATGTTGAATTAGAATGTTAGAAAGAATAAATTAAATAGACGCTTCTTTCTATGCATCGTGCTTTAAGATAAATGTTTTCATATTCAAGCTCGTCCATCAAAGGTTTTATCAAATAAAAAATTTCTAAAATAAAAGAACTTGTGCAATACATACGTATATAATGCAAGAGTCTTTTTATCTTATTTAAAAATTTTTTATTTGATAAATTTTACGTATATTACTTGATAGAGTTTATATGTTTCATATATATAAAATATATATAAACTATATCAAATAATATATGTAAAATTTATCAAATAAAAAATTTGTAAAATATACGTATACACATGTATATTTTATTTTTATTTTATAAATTTTACATATGTTATTTGATATAGTTATATATGTGTATATGTGCGTTCATGATCTTCTCAACACAGATATTCTTTAAAAATAAAATATCCGAGTTCTTCCGAATATGATGCTGAAATGATAGGCTCGGTTTCCGTAGCATCAACTTAACCGCGATCACCACGCGAGTGTTGGTGTCTAAAGTGGATAAAGGCGAATCGTGACCCGGAGCTCGCGCGCCGCACTGATCCCCGACCTCGCCTAACTGAATGCTGGTGACGTAACCTCCGCGGGGAGGTGAGGACAGGGGCCAGCGCCCGCGGATCGCAGGACGCGGGTGCACCGAACGCATGATGCGACAGCGAGTTCAAAGTCACGATGCATCGCTCCTACGCGATCTGTGAATCTGTTCCGACTTTAACTTTCGCGACTCACACAGATCGACCCCCGTCTCTTCTCGCAGCCGGGTGGAATTTACCAAGCTTGAAACGAAAATAGTAGAAAGTGAACTTTCGTTACAACGAAAACATTATAAAAAATCAATTTCTTCACAAATATATTCAGACAATCATTTCTTTCTCTTTTTCCTATAAAAATATTATTTTAGACTCTCAAAATTTAGAGACGCGTAAAATCAAAAGACAAAAAAAATCCACACATTTATCGTTAAATTTATTATTGTAATATAATTTTCTACAAAATGCATATATATGTATATTTATTTATTTATTTGTTTCAATACACGCTTTGTAAAAGTAATTTAATTATGTTATAATAAAAAAGTATGCAGATAATAATAGAACGAAATTTGGAAAAAATATGGAAAAAATATGAATTTTACTATTTAATGCAATGGAATTTGGAATGTGCACTCGATAAAACAGAAAAATTGGAAAAATATGAATATCATTCATGTAAAAAAAATCTTTAAAATTACAAAATACACGTACTTTTATACACATTTTAATTAAAAAATTATAAATGAAATAACTGTGTATTCGGATACGTTGTGTATACTTTTTTATAATCTTCTTTTTTATAATTTTCATGATAATCTGTGAAAAATAAACGAATAATTATCTTTCTATCTAAATTGAGCCAGCAGTTAACTGAAGGTGAAAATAAATTTAGTATAAGTAATAAAAATCTTAAATGTATTTCAATAATGCCAAAATTAAAATAATGTCTACACTTTTGGTTATAAATCACATCTATATATTGACTCAACGATTGTATAAGCAGTAGTAATGTAATCTAAAATAAAGATAATCAAATGTATGTTTAACAATTATAAACTGTAAGTAAAATTGAAAAATCCTTATCCTCCATTTATTAAAGTGATTGAAAATCACACATAAAATGTCACGTCAAATAGCATATTATCATAGAATACAGTTAATTTGCAACTATCATATTTGCAATAAATTAGGAAGATTTTAGATCAAGATTCTAAGTCAACTTCTCAAATGTTAAATAACTTTTGTCACTCAGAGATATAAATGATAATTTAAGCTGTTCGAAAAAATCATTGAATAAAATATTCCATGACTTTCTGATACTCGACTAAAACTAATTTGGCGATAATTAATTAATGCATTCCAACGAGATCGACGGTAAATCAATGGCAATAGGCAAATATAGTGAACTCAAACGTATGTATATTGCGAGTCTGGAAACCGGTTGGACGTCCCACGAGAGAAAAGACTATCCAAAAGGAGCGATAGCGACTGATGTGCCAACGAGTTCGAAAGCGAATCTCCTTTTTAGCCTTGCTCATTGGGCAATGCTCTTCAGCGGCGGATTCGCGTATGTAAAGTTAGCACCCCAACATTAAAATTCCATAGTTCTGATTAGAGTTCCCGCTTCATTTTGAAGAAATCAAGAGTTCTCTATAATTTATAATAAGCTCAGAACTATATTCAATGAATTTTGATAAGTTTACGCCCCATTTTTTTAAATTTAAATTAAAAATTGTTATTAAACAGAACTCTTGTTATAAACTATAGGGAACTCTTCATCTCCTCAAAATTAAGCGGAAACTCCAATCAGAACTATAAAATTTTATTGTTTGAGGTGCTAACTTCACACACGCGAATCACTAATCTAAAGCTGGTCTCGCATAAGATCATGATTATTAAATACACATAAAACCGTTTCTTATATATTCGCACACACAAAAGCCTTCGTATATCTTTCTACAAACTTTTATACAAAAATTAATAGACAAGAAATTAAACGTTAATTAAATTTCCTTTCACTAGTTAATATACAACGTCAATTAGATTTCCTTTTATTAGTTAATCTACATTTTTTCAAAAATTCAGTGTATATTTTAGATAAAAAAAGATCTTTCATAACGCGTATTTGAAATAGCCACTAAGATTAGATACTGTAAACAAAAATAACATTTAATAAAATTTTGAAACTATTCACAGAATATATATGTATACGTATATAAAAGCATAAATTATTTAGTATATCTGAAATAGTACTTCAAAAATATTTTATTAGGCAAGCTCTCTAATATATTTGGTTTTCTTAGGACGACATATATTGCCTCAGGTTCAGTAAGATATCTATTTTCTATGGATTCTTCGAGGAATATAAATCAAACTTTTAAAGAAATCAATGTTTCTTTCATAAAGAAAGAAGAACGGAAAGTTACTGATCATAAATATGTAATTCTCATTATACAAAGAGTTAATTAAAAAATTGAAGAAAATGATCGAGTTTCTGTAATTTACTTCTGAAATTTCTCCTAGTCCCCTAAGCTTTTTTCTGACGAAAAGGAAATTCCTCAAATTCTTTTGATTTCTTTCCAGAAGAATAATAACTATCGAGAGATACCAGCTGGGTACGTTATATCGCTGCTTCGCGTGCAGGCGGAAGAACGTTATGGCAAAGTGATGCGGGGAACGAGGTGGTGGATCTGTCTAAAGGTTCGGTAAGGTAAAGGTAAGGGTAAGGGTGAAGCTCGGTCAGCCGGGGGCGATACGCCGTGAGTATCGACCGCGTCGCCGGTCGCCAGAGACGCTTTTGTACGTTAAGCGCGAACGGAGAGAGAAAGGGAAGTCGGGAAGAGAAATGCATGGCACCAAACGAGAGGGAGATGGAGAAGAGAGAGAGAGAGAGAAAGAGAGAGAGAGAAAGGAAGAAAGGGATAGGGTGAAGAGGTAAAGAGCAAAATAAACGAGGTAAAGCCCGTTTTGCACAAAGTAATTTGCGTCTTCCAACGTACAAAATAATATCGCTTAATATAAAAAAAGACTCGATAATCGTAAGGTCAAAAGTAGAAAAAACTAAAAGTTAATATGATCGTAAGGGAGATGCGAAACATTCTGTTTTATTTTAATCAAAAATTTCAGGTCGAGATTACTCTCAATTCGGCTTCAAAAATATCTGCAATTTCATATTTTCCGACAAAATTCTGCTGGAGTAAAACAGTTTTTAAATTTCTTACAATATCGGAGATTGAAAATAAAGTGAAAATATTGTTGTAGGAGAGGAGAGATGAGAGATACAGTGTTTCACGAAACATGTAATATAACTTGGAAAAGATCCAGAGGAAATCCTTTCGCTTTCCAAAAACTAGAGAAGACTCAGAGAATTGGACGAAACACAGAATAAGAGTGACAATCGTAAAATCTAACAAGATCATTCGTAAAGAGTTGACATAAATTACTCTATCAAAGCGGCGAAGAATGTAACAAGAAAATATGTGACATCTTGTGATTTATTGATCGCTTAAAACTGATTTAAATGAAGAGCAAGATAAGAGTCTCACTTTCCCTTTTTTTCCCTTTCCTTTTTCCTTCCCTTCGCAGTCTACTCTACTGTTGAATAAAGATAACGATAGTATCTTCTAACTCACCCCGATTTTAATCCAGAAAGGGATGACGAGAGAATGGTAAAGAAAGCCGGCAATGGCAACTCTTTGTGAAATTAGCATCGCATTTTAGCATTTTTATACAATTAGTTACAGAGTTCTAGCTCAAAA